TATTCATTCATATTTCCTTTATTTTTGTTTGTCTGTTTTCTCTTGTTCGTCTTGTTTTTCCGCCACAAATTCATCGTTTCTTTATCTCTCGTTTTCCTACCCTAAATCTATCCCCCTTCTATATATTCCTCTCGGTCCCCTTACCTCAGCCACTCATCCTCGAACCCAGCGATCGTACGCGCGCATCCGATGTGCCAATTGAACTGTAAAAATCGCTGCTCTCTATTCTCGACTATGTAGAACGACTTATTGTAATATAAACAGAATAAATTATTATGTATGTTGACATTTTCGGAGATATTCGCGCAAGCAAGCAAGGAGGGTAGTAGAAGTTTCTTAATAAAAACGAAAAGACGAAAAATGAGGAAAGAATGGAAAAATGATGAAGAGACAGAGGACGTGTGAGTATGTTTGTCGTGTGCGAATGCTCAAGGGGCGAAGAAAGAAGGAACGGTGCACGGTCGAAACGATATAACTACTTATGATTTCACGTAGTTGGTTTTCCCGTGCGGTACGAGAGAACGGAAGAAGAGCAAACGGATGACAAACGAACAAAGAATTTTATCGCGGCATTATTTCCGCGGAAACGCCTGCGTGGTTGTTTAGCGATAAATTTACCCGAGAAGCCGTACTTGTCGTAAATTTTTTATACTTGTAACATTTTGTTGCGTAAATATGATGACTTTAGTGAAGTCGACAGTGCAATCGTTACACGTTTTTTAGCGTTAATTTAAGAGGATCGGATAGAGAAGTAATAATGTTTACCTTTTTGCTTATAAAACGATACGAAAGGAACGCGTTGTTTCTGTACGAACGAGCGAGCGAGAGAAAGAGAGAGAGAGAGAGAGAGAGAGAGAGAGAGAGAAAGAAAGAGAGTATGTAACATTTTAAGAAGGAAATCGCTATCTCTATTAACGTAAGGGAAAAAGAAGAAGCGTTGTTTCGACTTATTGTTAACTTATTTTGTCAGCTTTGTCGACTCCTATTATCGATCGTTGTTAATTTAAAGACGCGTTGATTACTTCTTATCGGTCGAATCTTAGCACGTTCTTTTACCGTCAACAGATTAATACATATCAATTTTTCCAATCACGATAAATCACTGCCTTACCAGATACAATGTACGTATGCAAAAAGAAATCTAACGAAGGTTAGCAAACGCTCTACTCTTTTTTTAACACGAAGAAAAAAACTGTATGAATGTACAACGCATTTTTTTGTTTGGTTCTAGACGAAGGATTATAAACTATGATGTATATGTTGCTAGAGGTAGCGAATTCTTTCAAAGAGATTATTATGTTTTGTTGTAAATTGATGAATTGTTTTTTGACGAGTACACGTGTAAATACAATTTTATGTGCTGTAAGATCCACCTGTTGAATATTTCTATTCATAATTTTTCGGAACATTTCTACGGAATTTATTTTCGTTGAAGGAACATTGTAAGGCAGTGACTTAAGCATTAAAATATATGCATAACGTCTCCATCTTGGTAAAACGAAACCTTGTGATTAAGTGCAGTATTCACCCTTGGGATTTATTAAAATTGCAGCATGAAATTATAAAACATTAAATTTTCTTTCCACTGTAATTGTACAGTATTCTTTGGAAAAAAAATATGACCGTTTACAGTTAGTAAATTTGTTATATTGTAACTGACGCTTTATAAAATTTGAACAAATTTATGATTCCACGATTTTTTTATTGAATTTCAAAATCTTATGTACAACATATTATTGAAATTTAATGATAACCATTTGTTGAATTCGTTTCTTGTTCATATTTTTGTTTAAAACTTAGATTTAAAATACATATTAAATATGTTATTTTATTATTATTATATTATTTGTAAGTTTCATTCCATCCCTTATAATTTACATTTTATTTCAGTAATTTAAATTAATCTATATGCTTGGAACAGTATCAAAAAGTTCTAATAATAGAAAGTACTTAAAATTGAATGAAAATCAGCTTTTGCCAAATAGTGATGTTCCATGTATAATTACAAAAAATTAAATTGTGTACAAAAATACTCTGCATAGAGAAAGTACTTATATAAATTTGCAAAGTCTAAAAATAAGCAAATGCTGTGCATACAAAAATATGCCTTGTCAAATTGTTCTTCAAAAATATATAACAAGATAAAACCAGGTGTAAGGATTATAAGACTGATGATAAATTTGCTTCTGTTTTATTATATAAGTAAACAAATAGTCTCAAAGTGAATTGCATAGAAATATCTGTGGATATTTACATTATTCCTTATTTAAAAATTCATAATGTAATTCGAAAATAAAAATGCAATGCACCTGAATATTTTAAAAGTTACAAATATTTGAAAGTTCAACATTTTTTTCTCTACTTACTATTACCAATGTCCAAATAAACATTGTGTATCACTACATTTTATATTTTTGATCAGTAAAAGTACAAAAATTTAACCACATCTTTACTGGTAAACAAAATTGTACATACATATATGCAATTATATATTTTTGTTGTTATGCATTATAATAAACATTTTCATATTTTTTATTACAGAAATAAGAAAGTATACAAAAACTAGTGATAAGAGACTATCACTGACATATAATTATCATTTCTTATATCACTTTGTACATTACATTATACATTAAAGTTAAGATATATTGCACAAACATGGTAAAATTAAACATTTTTTTAATTCTTTTAATATTTATATCAATTTTATAACTCATTTGATTAACAATGAAATTAAACCAATCAAAATGAGTTAAGGTTTACCATATAAAATTAATAATAACCTCTATATTATTAGACTACTGTTCTTAAACTGCATTACTAATATGAATACATTTTATAAATGCTTATTTAAAATGAAAATTACACCAAATAATTACAAAATTACCACCATTAAAAAGTAACCAATTTATTATACAGTAAAATTATAAAAAACATTGAACCGTTGTTCGTCATTGAACTTCACTTTATAATGTATATAACAACAATATACGAAATTTAAATTAATTTGTAAAAGTTACCTAACACCGTATAATAATATTTGTCAATACTTTCAAATAATATACTTCGATTAATTGCAATGTGAATACAAAAAGAACGGTTGACATTTCGCAAATATAAGGTTAGGTTTATCAGCGAAACAGAATCCACTCATTTCCACGTAGTGGGACATACAAATTCATAACATTGACCTCGAATTAGTAATCTCAACACTCATTGGAGCTCGTTATACGGATATATTTGTACATCTTGTAGATACGCGGCTATATAAGTGATAATTTCAAAAGAGGAGCACAAATGTGTCGTTACTCGGGAAGGCATACAAAGAGTATCCATTTCTTTCAGTGAGCGTTTACCGTCAGAGTGAACAGTTGTGGACACGAACCATGATTTTGCGATTTGTAATCTTTGGCGCTCTTTTGGTCCTAGCGATCGAAGCAAAAAGATATTCACAATTTTCAGAAGACGAACAATGGCAAGAGTTCGAAGAGTATCTGAAATGGAAGAAAGCAAAGGAAATACGCGAAAATGGTCCGCCAGAAATCAAATACGAGAAACGACACAATGAAAATCACGATTCGTATAAAATGTATGGAAGAGAACAACAAGTTCCCGTCAATAGTCCACCACCTATCGATCAGGCAGCTTTAATGGCAAGATACATCGTTAATCAGGCTGGTAAAAGAAAATACACTTTTTTATAGTAGCAATTATTTTTAATTGGGATAAGTGGTATCATGTTGTTGCTTATTATAAATTCCAAGTGCATGAACGCTTACTTTTCAAACAAAGGCATTTAATATCAGTTTAAATTATGAATCATCTAGAAATCGACGAAGCGAACAGAAAATTACATACATGCGTGCATACACGTTTAGCTATACTGCATTTAGCTAAAGTTAACATTAGAACCGTGCGCATAACTTTGGCAATTTTCCAAATTTTCAACATTCGAGATTACATATCATGTTGCTTAAAGTTGATATGTAAACTTTGACATTTTTCGATATTGTGAAATACCGAAGATATCAAATTGTAAATCACATGACTAGTTAATGACCCTATTTAATATCCGTTACATTTGTGTATTCAATTATACGTTACTCACTATTGTTTCACGATGAAATGGAAACACGATAGTTCGAAGTTCAATAATAAGGAGGACATTTTTCTAAAATGAATATATCAATAAAAATAAGCGTCACTTAAAAAAAAATATTTTGATTAATCCAATCAATGGATGAAGTCATTTATTATTTCTTTATGTCTAGATATACGATTTATTTATACATGTTTAAGACAATTTTTAATGTAAATTTATCTGTTTGCATATTTTGGAAATATAGATTATTTTTCATTTTCTATATAAGCAAATAAATATTAGTATTTCTGTTTTCTGTTTTAATGATTAACGATTAGAAATACATATATGAATGTAACACTACATTATGCACTTGAAATTCTTTATCTTTATACCTTTACATTATGTAGATTGGGCATCTGTGGCGACAATAAGTTCGAGAAAGGACATCCCATCCTTTCCAGCCGTAACCCTAGTTTCGTACACTGATGGACTTTTAGGTAATGGATCAGGTGTTCCATATCTTTATCTCACTCCGTTGGACTTCACCGCTCAAGATCTCGCAGTAAATATCATTGTAACAGATACATTATCACAACACAAACACATGCTTTATATTTGATCATGTGATAAGATTGCAAATATTGTCACGTATCGATTGCTTTTTTGTTTTCGAAATCTTTATCTTTTCTCTGATTTTGATCGTAACACATAGATTATAATTTTAGAAAATTACTTTTAGTCTGAAGATTAAAACTACTCTAAAGATTAATTTAATAATTGTTTTCTTATCACAGAAAGACAATCGGGCTTCGTTGTTAATGACATTAGCCCAAGGAGATTACTGCAAAAACAAAAAATGGGATCCCATGGACCCTCGATGCGCTAGAATTCTTATGAGTGGCAAAATCAAACCAGTTAGTAAAATAAAAACTATTGAACTTCTACATAATTATTGCTAAAATAATTAATAATAATTACTTAAATATTTCCCTTCTTTAATAGCTGAAGAATGAGAGTATGGAACTCGAATATGCTCAAAAAACGTTCCTTAAACGTCATCCAGGACTAGCTAACATGCCAGCAAGTAAGAATTTTTTTAAATAACATTAATTGACAAAAATTACATGCTACCGTGTAAATTAATTTTAAAATATTGTTTTTATCGCTACAGATCACCACTTCTATTTCGCTAAACTAAAGATAATAACGGTTGTAGTACTAGATACTTTTGGCGGACCGAAATATGTCTCTGTAAAGGATTATTTGCACCCACCAATTGATAATGTTACCGATGAATTCAACAGGCTTTTCCCTGTAGAATCATATGAGAGTAGATCTCAAGAAGAATTCGGACCAGTTTCTAATGTTCTCAATCCTGTCGTTCGAAGTGTATAAATTAACACGACAATATAAACAATTTAATTTAATATTATAAATTAAACAAATTATAATTAAAATAACAAATATTATA